AGGAAATGACTTTAGAAGCAAGTTACCCGCCATTCGGTGCCTGAGTCAGCGCCCGAGGAGTCGAAATCGTCAAGGACATCGCTTGGGAATTTCGCATCTTAGCGAGTCCCTTCGCCTATCTATTTTAGGCAGATAGGGTAGCCTCGGTCTATCCGGTGTGTGTTAGATGAATCTTGGAGAAAAGACGTTTAGCCACGTGGAAACAAGTGAAGACTCAGGGTAGCGGGCGGTAGTCCAGATGAGGATATCCGGGGTAAGGAAGCGAATCCGAGTCAAATCCCGGACGCGGCGGATTTCTGAGCTGGACTCAGACACGTGGGAATCGGGAACCGAGTCCTCGTAGCGCTGTCAAATAGCAGCTGCTACATGCAGAGAGGGCCACGAGGACAGACGCTTGCGTGAGACCGAAGTCCGCTTCTTCAGCAGTCTTCTTGGGCATGTTCGAAGCTCCAGATCCAGCACAGCTAGGCACCGCAGAGAAGGGGGAAGGGCGGGTGGTCGGCCTTAGTGACGACGGCGCAGCGACGCATATGGAATGTTGCGATGCAGATTTAGGAGGAGCGGCCTTTAGGTTTCTGGAATAAAACGAGAATGGCAGCATGAGAGCATGGAGCGACGAATGTGGTATGTACGGATAGCTATATTAGGTCAACTCTACAGAGCCTTATTCCCCTTACCGACATTCTCCACACGTTCGGTCTCGGTAACCTCGCTGGCAATCTTCTCGTCTGATGAGAGAGCCCCAGTGTCTGGGAAGTCATGAGCTTCCCGGATCCCGACAGCTACCTCGTCGCCGAATAACGCAGCAATTTCTTCCAGTGTTTTGCCCACGGTCTCTGGGTAGACCCAGTAGACCACGGTGATGAAGATGGCGTCGCAGATGATGAAGATGAGGAAGAACTTCCACGCGATGTGCTCGATGGCGATCGGCGTCACTTGCACCAACATGATTGTAATGGCGTTGAATGTGCAGAAGGCCACGGCGTTGCCGGCTGCTCGGATCGGAGTGGGCATGATTTCCGACGGGTACGTATATCCTGTATTAATGAATTTTTATTAGTAAACCTGCACGATTGACACGTTTGACAAAGGGGGGGAAAGCGGGATATACGTACCGAACGAGTTCATGATGAAGGCATATCCGATCAGGTAAACGAACATGAAACCGACAGTAAAGCGACCGAGGAGCAAATTGGTGTTGCCAGAATCCTGGAATCGTGCCCAGACTAACGCTCCGTTAGTTATGCCGCTCTCACACACATCTAGGCCAATGAGCGAGACTTACAGATGACCATGGCGATGGATGCCAGGAACTGCACCCAAAGAGATATAAGCAAGGACTTTCTGCGGCCAAGCTTATCAAACAGCAAAGCACCGATGGTGCAGAAGATGACTCCGCAAGTACCCCATACTCCGACCATGACAAGTGCAATCTTGTTGGTGACTCCAAGGTAGGTGTACAAGATGAATTGATAGTTCTGGAGCGGGATGATACCAGTAAACATGGCAAAGGCGAACTGGAAGACAACGATGAACATTCGCTTGCGGTAGGATGGCCGGCGAAGAATGGTGCGTAGGCCAACTCGTTCGCGGACTTCGAGTTCATGCTGTGCCTTGATCTGGTTGAATTCGCGAATGTAAAAGTCGTCATCCGCGCCGGGAGCGCCGCCGTGAAGTTTTGTAATCACCTCCAACGCCTCGTCATAGCGCCCTCTCATGATGAGAAATCTAGGCGATTCTGGGAGATAAGGGACACATAAGGCCATGAGAACAGGCGGAACGTGTTGCAAACCCAAGAATAATCGCCAGGCGACATCAGAGCTGATGTAACTGAATCCGAGACCCATCCATTCGGTCACTAATGCAGAAGTTTAGTATATCAAGAATTGACAATTGACAATTGACAATTGAATTTGGTGAAAGACCCACAGGTATAACCAAGGTTGATGTTTAAGTTGTACAGCCCACCAACTCTGCCACGGAATTCTGGTGGCGAAATTTCTGACATGAACATCGGGCAGACACCGAAGACGATACCAGAAGCGATGCCGCCAATTACACGCCCAACGAAAAGCATCTCGATGTTTTGAGCGGCAGTCTGAAGGACAGCACCCACTAAAGCGCTGATATATGTTAGCGACCCATGCCCGCCTGAAAGGGGAACCAGGAACGAACACAACGCAGGCAATGTAGATAGTTGGCTTTCGCCCATATCGATCAGGAAGCCAGAAGTTCAACCCAGACCCGAAGAAGCTGCCCGCATAGTAACATGATCCTAAAGCTCCGATGGTATTGGAGTTGAAGTTGAAATAGGATATGAATTGGGGGTATCCCAAGATAGAGGTGGTGAGGCCAGAGTCATAGCCGTAAAAGAAAGCCCCAAAAGAGAGGATGATAATCGACCAGATGTTAAGCCTGTTACCTGGTTAGTCGGTCTCAGGGACTAGCAGCGTTGAGAACGAGCCGGTTCAAAAATATCACTCACTTGTTGAAGTGTGTCATCTTGGACCGCTCCGTCTGGCTCAGTGCGAAGACGGACTTGTTTCAGGAGATGAAAAGAGTGCTTGAGGAGCAGAAGCTAGGGATGCGCAGTTGCTCAAAAAATGCACTGATAGATATATACTTGAATACTCGTACAACGAACCCGAGGGTAATAGGACTCCCTCGGTTATAGTTAAGGTTGATTGGACGACACAGGGTTCGCGGGGTAAAAGCTGGAGAAAAGGGATAGTGTGGAGATGATACCGCGACACGCCGGGGAGCCACCGTTGCCATAGACGCCCTGCCGGAGCTGTTCGGTAGACTGAGTCTGGACGCGGGTCGCAGAAGTGGTCTGAGATTGGGCCTTGATGGGCACATATACCATCGAATCATACACCGTGGCTCTGGGTTGGCCTGCTTCTCCATGCACCGCCTCATGCTTCAGGTGAGCCTCGACGGCCGAATTCCCTGTGGGGGTTCTGGACGGTAGATGGTTAGTGAGAAGGTTGGGGAAGTTAGCGACAGAAGGCTGTATCCCAAAGCGGTAATTACCCTCGGTAGGGCATAGAACTGCCCTGTCCCTGAGCTTGCCCTGAGATAGTGGCACAGCGTGACAGAGGCCATCTCGAAAACCCGTCTAGAATGCGATCCCCCTACCTCAAATCCCAGCAGGACGCGTCCTCGAATATTCGCCGGTCTTCTCATCTTCGTTGTCGTCGCCATAACTCATCTCCGTCATTTCGCCCTCTTCCAATTCGGCCTACAGGAAGACAATGTCAAATTGCCAGCCATGCTCCTTCAGAAACAGTTCGAGCTCTTCCAATCCAGTAGTAGCAAGGTGTGGTGGCGATTGAGCTGGGCGAGAACATCGGGTCTTCGCCACCGCTTATCGGATCAAGACAGCCTGGCCCGGGTACGTCGCGGCGTCTTCACTTGTCCCGTATGCTTAAGGTGCTTGTTGCATATCTGTCGGCCACGGCTCGGTTATAAGGTTTGGCCATATCGCCTTCCACCGCTTGACCTTCTTGTCATATGCGTCTCTTTTCCCAAGCACGGGATTTGGTCTCACCACCATGTTGAAAAAATCAGACAATCCTCGCGGCGCATAGACGATCCACTCTCCCATTTCGTCAATCCTTACGCCCAGCATTGCGCTTGTAGATATCCATGTATCTATTCCAGCCTCGACACTCGCATGTGGTGGACATGAAATCCCATACTTCTTCTCGTACCACAAATGGACACGTGCCTGATTTCGGATTTCAACAATCACAGACATGTCGGCAAAGTGCCGCTTTCCGGCCTGAATGACGAGATCTTCTGCCTCATACGACAAGTCTGAAGCGTCGTAATAGACGAGATCATAGTCGCGAATCCCAGTCTCACGTGGGAGTTTAGAGACGCTGTTCCAGATTGTCTGCGACAAAGCGCCACCAGCGAGGTACCAATTGGGTAAACCGAGGCCGACAGCACGGTTTAGAACACTTGTGAGGGTACGATTGGACGAGAGAATCTCGCGTAAATGACCAATTTGAAGATGTAAGGGAAGCTGCCCCAGATTCATTTCGAAGTGAGCTGTGGCCAGAGGAGGAGATTGGCAGCAAGTTCTCCAAGCCTCGTCAATATGGAGTGCAGAGAGTAAAAGCTGGTACCGAAACGATATGGATCATTTGTTTCCGGACTGCACTGCTTTCATATCCGTGTGGTGAGTTGCGAGGAGATGTGCTTACTGAGGTTGAGGGTCGATAGTAACGAGGAGCGAGCAACCTTTCGAGCTTGTTTTCTAGCACGTGACCCACGCTGTTTCCCCTAGGCCGCCTACCGTAATGCGCAGGGGCGCCCAGGGGCCCCAGGCATGCCCCCAGTAGCCCCACCCGCCCTGCATGGGAACTTTTGAATGCCAAAATGGGGCGGTTATTGTTGGGGGCCTGTGCCTTGCTCTCCCTTACCTCGTACCCTGTCCACCCTCACCACGCACTTCTCACTGCGAGCTACACACGGAGTGCTTCTTTCCCAAGATGCTAGACATATCTGATTATGGCTGACTGTTGACGTGTAGACACGGGGGTCTGTACCAGAGATTCTGCTCCATACTTACCCGTACTCACCCAGCAGCGACTGGCAGACTCGCGCAACAGAACCGTCAATTTGGCTCGGCAAGCTATCGACCTTGAAAGAGGGTCTGCCTCATCCTCCTGCTCTCTCGATCCCGGATCGGTGGCTTGGTCAATATTGCGATAACGCTGATATCAATTCTCCATAATGCATCTCATTGACTGCATTGACATTGCGTGCAAACTTACGGCTCGTCGAGTATTTTGGTGACAACATACCTTGCTACGCCGTGCTGTCCCATACCCGGGGCGAACCCAGCGATGAACCTACCTACAGCAATCTCGCTGAGCATACCGGGGTTGAAAAGCCGGGATACAGAAAAGTCAGGTTCTGCGCAGAGCAAGCCCGCAGGGATGGCCTTCGATATATCTGGGTTGACATGTGCTGCTTTTGATAAGACAAACATGGTTCAATTGCCGGAGGCCATAAATTCAATGTTCGACTGGTACAGGAAAGCAGCTCGGTGTTACGCGTACCTGTCTGATGTCTCTAGCCAGCCTCTCAGCTCCGATCAAGACAGCTCCACCAACACCGCGCTCCAGGTCTCGGGGACGAAGACGCATTCGGTTCAAGTCGATGGTTTACCCGCGGCTGGACATTGCAGGAGCTTCTTGCCCCAGCTTCTGCCCAGTTTTTTTTCCGAAAACGGTAGTCTGTTAGGGACCGAGGCCACCCTTTCACGATTGGTAAGTGACATCGAAGGCATCAGTCGAAGGGCTCTACATGGACGCCTCTTCTCCGACTTCGATGTCGAGACACGGTTCGCTTGGGCCATGAATCGTGACCCTTGGCGACAAGAAGACCAGGTATACTGTCTCCTCGGTAACTTCGGCGTGCGGATGAAGCCGCACTATGGAAAGGGAATGGAAAGCGCCATTGTACGCTTGCGCAGGAAAATTGACTGGTCGAATGACATACCACAAGATTCAGAACTCGACGGAACGGAGCCTGCTTGGCTTCCGTACGTGCCACCAAAGATGTGTCGGACTGAATATCTGAGCTTCAAGGTTCAGGTTCAAACGAAATTCAAAGACATATAGGTTGATCGCTTTTAATAAAGCTAGTGTTGAGAAGCGCCGCTCCCATACAGTTCTGCGTCAGTCCGGCGAAGAAGTGAGTCATTTACCACAGGACTTTCAAAGCGATTTAGGAGAGCAGAAGCAGAAGTCTTGAAGCGAATCGACCTGGAGAAATGGCGGTTTGTATATTGAGAGGAGCATCGCTGTGGCCCCTTGGTGGCTACTATGTGCAAGTATATCTCACGGTTACCTAAGAATGTCCAAGGGGTCCTAGACAATGAGGGTGGAGAATTGATCGGTGGTCTACTTCTCATACCAACAGCACCAGCATTTTTAGTGGTTGGGCTCTTGGAAAATCAGATCTTCGGATTCGAGTTCATTCTAGAAAAACGCCACTAGAGGTGAGCATTGCGCTCGCTCAGGGGACACGGCAAGTTGAGTTGGTGTGCGAGGCTTGCCTAACATGCAGCTTGGGGAAAAGAGCTTCAATTTCCCGAAGAAGGGGCGTGGTGCTGTTTGGATGTATGTGTTAGGCTCATCTGGATGTCCAGGTAGGTCATCAGGTATGATCTGACCAATGGCGATACCCAGAGAACGAAGCTCTTGCTCACGGCCACGGCGCTCAACTCGGGTCGTAAAAGCTTGAGTCGAACTGGTTCCGTTCCGAACCGCCCCTGGGCATCGCTCAGTGGTCCGCTGACTGCATTGATCTTTTTCATCCAGTTTGAAAAAAGCCAGCGGAATTACTGGCGGCACAAGATGAACAAAATCTGCCCCCAAGGGAATGGAAAGGGTCACGACTAAAGCCTAAAGCAAGTTTGAGGACAGATGGACAGACTGATATAGGGCCACCCGAGATTGTACGCTATCTAGGCACAGATGGATGGATTCTATTATCCTTGTGACTGAATGAGATCTCTTCCCTACCGCTTTGTGAAGACCACCTAAGGTGGCAACTTGGTGGTGGGATTAAGGTACGGTCCGAGGTAGATATGGTCATCTGCCCAATCCATCAACTTCTCCCAGTCGCCACATACATGAGTATTGTTGGCGCTGAATGGTCCCAGGATGCCTTCAAACCGCCTTTCCAAAGTTGGATCCGCGTAGCACATAACCGACTGCCGCAGGTACTCTGTGCAATGGAACATATGATCGGCGGTCAACTCGTCGGGCACGATCCCTCGGACTGAATAATCGACTGCCCATTGGAGGAGCCACTGGAACAGCGACATTAGATACAGCAAGGGAGACCAAGATTGCCCGAGAACAGCTCACCACACAATGGAGTTGATGGTATCCTGCAACACCGTAAAACTCGCCGGGCATGCTGTCGAATGCCACACGGCCATGGCGTGCACGGTGTAAGATCTCATGCCATGCAGGATAAGCTTTCTCCTTGCTTCCCATGAACGACTCGTTCCGCTGAAAGAGCACCGTCCTCTTGGTAACTGGGTTTACTGAGTCAGCAAACTACCGTGCACGCAGCTATGTCAAAAGAAGGCAAGGAGGGAAAGCAAGGAGTAAGGATTCAACCAAACATACATTCAGGCCCCAAGATCGGAGGCATCACGCCAGGAGTATGGATGACTTCCGCCTTTGCCTCCGGGACATGTCGAAAGACGTCCTTGGGCGTGGCGCTGAGCTTTACCACGGCAATAATGAGGGACACGCACAGGATGGAGAGAACACCTACGCACCCGAGCAAGAGCTTGTGGACTCGGTGGGCCCGCGGGTCACGCATCACGTAGCCTCCGCTGGCGTCGTCGTCACCATCAAGGTTCTTGCGCGAGAGGAGCAAGCTCGACAACGCCGAAGATGGCGGGTGAAGACGGTGGTAGCGGCGCCGCTTCTTTTCGTCAATGGGTGAAGAGGGGCAGCTTGATGGAGATGGAGAAGAAGGGTAGTCTTGTTTGATGAGTGTGTCGCCTGAGGAGTCGGACGCGTAGTCGGATGAAGACGGCATCTCGCAAGGCTGACTGACAACAGCGGTACGCGCAGAGGAAAACAAAAAAAAAAAAAAAATGAGAACCAAGGAATTGTCGGATAACGAGGACTGGGAAGAAGGAAGAAAGAGGATGAGATGGGTTCAGGTTAGCCAGAGAAATATATGTGCTGACACTCGCGGCGGGGGAGGGACAAGAACAGAATACAGAGTCAGGGAAAGCCACCCGCCTTAATCTGTACCCACGGATTGATTTCTGACGTGGGCGAGAAGCCAGGGTAAGTCGGGGTGGACGATGGTCGGGGTGGACGATGGATCAAGTGTTGAAGGACCGAAGGACTGTAGGGCGGACGGGCCTTTTCGACCCTTTCAGGGCTCATCTGCTCATCTGTCACAGGAACAACTTCGCCACACTCGCCCAGCTCACATCTCCCCTCGCGCACTGCGAGCAGATGTCCTACAAGGCCTGAGGAGAAGAATTATTACAGCATCCTGCGCGGCCAACCCTACAAGAACACTTAGCTACATGGTCATTATTATGCAGGACCAGAGGGCTGATGCCTTCCTCCTGTTATATTTATCGGATTGAGCAATGCCCTCGTCCTCGAGATCTGCGTCGGACACCTTTACTTGGTAGCTTGCTGACGACAAGAGGGTTGAATTGAGATGATAGTAGAGATTGACAGACGCACGCGTTGAGCGCACATTCGAGCTTTGGCTGGACTCCCCCCTCCCCCTCTATATCTCCCGGCAAGTGAACGCTCCCTAAACGACACACCCATCTGATCCTATCCCGTTGTCTCCATCGTCACAAAAATGTCGGTTTCATTGTCGTCGTCAGTAGATTTTGAACGAGGTATGTCACAGATTTCACCCAGAGTCCCGCATGGAGCTGTTCGGACGTACCAAGAGTTTTCTTTAACGGCGCTTCGCTGTGGCGTGGTAGATGTCGGTCTCTGGGCTGGGGGAGCGTTTGGCTGTCGCGTGATAGATATCAGTCTCTGGGGAGCGACGCTTGGCTGTCGCGTGGTAGATGTCGGTTTCTGGCACCGGTGAGCGTTTGGCAGTTGCATGGTAGATATCAGTCTCGCGCTTAGCTGCCGAGCGCTTGGCCGTCGCGTGATAAATGTCGGTCTCTGGTGAACGACGCTTGGCTGTAGCATGATAAATGTCCGTCTCAGGAGAGCGACGTTTGGCAGTGGCATGGTATATGTCGGTTTCTGGCGATCGGCGCTTGGCAGTGGCGTGGTAGATATCTGTTTCAGGGGAACGACGCTTAGCCGTAGCATGGTAGATATCGGTCTCAGGAGAACGGCGTTTGGCAGTGGCATGGTAGATGTCAGTTTCTGGGGAGCGTTTGGCTGTAGCATGATAGATGTCGGTCTCCGGAGAGCGCTTAGCCGTCGCGTGGTAGATATCCGTTTCACGCTTAGTAGCTCCCATCAACACCGCTGTGCGAGCGCCTAATAAGCCATTGTCAGTAAACTTCAATTCACCCCGTGATCTTTCGAAGTACTTACTCAGGGCATCTGCAGCAGGGGACGTCGGCAAGGCTGACGCCGATGCTGCAAGCAGCGTAAGGAGAGAAGTGACTTGCAGGAACTTCATGTTTGCCGGTGTGGTGGAGGAGCAAGATTGGCGAGGCTGAGGGGAAAGCAGGATTAGCGATCTGGGAACATACATGGTCAGGAAGATCGTCTTATATATGCTGCTCTCAGCAGGTTCTCGGCATCGACGGAAAGCCTGAGAGAGCATTTGACCTTTCATCATGGTTCATCCTTGCCGCTTGGTCAGACGTGCCCCGCTGCTCTTGAGAATTCTACTGTAGCTTATGACAATCCTAATCCTCTGGTATCTGTGAAACAATTAAGGCGGCCGACAACATTAGCTTAATGCTGGTAATCTTGGTGGATGAATCGAGCTGAGTTTGCTCTGACGGCCTTTCTCAGCGACTATGGCAATTGCCACTGAGACACTCTGCTCATGGATTCGGAGCATTTCACGAAACATCCTGCTCGATGAAAGGACCCAACTCTGAGGTAGATGTGAGTTCATGCTGTCCATGCTTAGAACAGGTATTTATTTGCCGGTTTCAATCTTCTCCCTTCAGATTCAGGTCCAAAAACTATGTCGAGTGAGGTAGAATGATCACTAACCTGAGTTAAAATGATCTTCAGTGCCAATGAAAATAACCTCTTTTGACGTTTCGTTACACAACGAGGAGTCCGCATGTTCACGAACTGGGACGTATCGAGGCTGAGTCATTTGTCAAGCATTCGCATAGCACGGTATTCTGCAGTCTAACCTCGCTCGGCAATGTACTTACATGAAATGATTGGCACAAATGAACGTCGCTAAACTTACACAGTCTTACTCTCCGCAGTATATGTCAGCAACAGTGTGGTAGTCGACTGTGGATCGCACAAAAGGACTATATCCGTCACACCTGCTAAGCTATTACCGCCAGACAGCACCATTTTCCTATAATGGTTAGGGCTATTCAGATATAACCAGGACCTGTGCCAAAACCTGGCCTACGTTCCTGCGCTCAACAAAGAAGGCTCAAGGGATCTGCAAACCTTGGAATGTCACGGTAACACAGTCGTGGTTCGGGCACAGATATGCTTGTACAGACACGGAGAATGGCGATTTATATGGGGCTCTGAGGTGGCGGTGAGATCCAATTGTGTCTCAGCGAAGGACGAAAATGCGGGTTACACTATATTCGTCGTGGGACCGGCTCGCAGCATCAATTATCCGAGTATTTTGGTGTATTCTGTTCGCATAATCGCTTGAAATCCCGCCCCCATTGCGTCCCCATAGGAAGGATTCAAAGGAAACTCCACCGAAATCAGTGCGATTGGATCGAGTTGAGACTGGGCTTATGGATCACATTTGCTTTGACGAATCAAGGGAACGTGTACTTTGTAGACCGACCGTGATATGGATTGATGACCACATCCTACGGTAAGTGCGAAGTGCGGATTAGCGGTATCTATATCACACCAAAAAGGGGCGCAGAACATTCACATATTATGTGCCACTTTAGCCGTTACAGGAAGCTAAGACGAGGCGGCGGCTCCACCAGCTCCATCCTGGGGAGTTGCCCGTCGGGCTTCTGCCTGGATGTAGAAAGTGATCACGCGATCATGCCGAATATACGAGGCATTTTGACTGTAATTAATATTACTTGGACAGTCGTCTTCTTCTGTTGACAGTTCTCAGTTATTTGGGGGAAGGAGAGAGAGATACAGCCCTGACTCTGGTTCTGTCTCGCTTCTTCACTCACTCCTAAGAGCCCTTCTCATGTACTTGTACAAGGTTGATGCAATGTAACAGGAACATCTCCCAAAACGCACGAATCCGCCTCAGGGCCTGAGAATCCTTCCACAAAAGATTATCTGGCCCATATCATCCAAAACAGGTGAGGATGTGCAAAGCTGACTTGACTAAGGCGTACCAGCGAGATTGGTGGTGGAGGCGAAACCCCAGCAACAACGCACGCACTCGTTCAAACATATCGACACGCTGGTACATACATTCTGCACGCTCTGCCCAACATGAGCCCATCGGTCAACCCCCACGACCACGGCTGCAACCTGCTGACCGACCATGAATGGAAAATGCTGGATCGTGCTCTCCCTCGTCCTTGTCCTGGTTGACGCCGTTTGCTATTCAGCGGCTGCCCCCAGCCGCGCACAGTGCTGGCTTAACTATTCGCAGATCCATTACATCTCGATACCGCACGATCTGGAGTCCGACTATGGGGCTATTGTGAAAGAACTGGGCACTGGCACAACGGGCTCGGTGCTTCTGCTTCTGCGTCACACCGATAATGCTACGGTAGCGGTCAAACGTTTCCACAACGCCGCCGGGGACCAAGGTGAGGGCTTCGCGCGAAGAGTGAAGCTTGAGTACCACCTTGGAACTCTGCTAAACGGCCATGCCGGCATAGCAGAGAGCCTTGAACTTCTCCTGGAAACCCGTTCGTCAACTTGGTTTCTGGCGACAGAGTTTTGTCCTCGGAGCCTTGCAAAGGAACGTCTATCCACCAGCTTAGAGTGTCTTACCAAGATATTCCGCGGGATCCTCGAGGCTGTTGAGCATATGCACGCCCGGGGCATATCACACGGAGATCTCAAGTTAGAAAATGTCCTTTTGACGGCCGACGGAAGGCCCAAGTTGATCGACTTTGGTGCTGCCACCTTCTCACAATGCCCAACAGAAACCCCCGGCTTGGCAGACTCCGTCAACGTCGTCCCCGGAGACTATGGCACCACGGCCTACATGCCACCAGACGTTTTTACGCAGCTCGAATTCGACAAGGAGAAAGCCGACGTGTGGGCCCTCGGCATTCTGTTCTATGCGATGATCATCGGCTCTGTTCCTTGGTCCTCTGCTTCAATCCATGACCCCCGCTATCAAGCCTACGTGACACCGGGGCCGCTCGAAGACAGCTTGAGTTCAGGCCATTGTCCCAGTTTGGAAAAATCGACGATCAGTCTCGAGACCTGTTCCAATGGAGCTTTTCACATACTACAGAAGCTACCATCTGAAGCAAGGGACTTAATTGCCTCAATGCTGGTGCCCGAACCTCTGGACAGGCCCTCACTCCAAACTCTGTTAGCTTCTATACCACAGACATGATTTTGGCCAACTTTGTCAAATTGTGAAATTGAGGTTTCGGCACTTTGGAAACAGACACCCGGTTGGCAGAGTAGTTATGGCGGCTCAGTGAGGTCGTCGTTGAAGAAACATTCAGCCCAATAAACCGCAAGGAGTACATACTGCACTATTTTTTAGCTGGTGAATCAGGCCCAGAGCGATCAAATTGCGCTACCCGAGATCGGTAATCAAGATTGTTCTTATTTTGAACGATTATTCCAATCTGGCCAAATAAGACCGACAGCAAGAATGAGAACACAGTCCTAACACAATTCTGCTTTGACTTCGTTCAACGGATCATGATTGGAGGGTTGCGAGTCTTGCTCTATTAGACATTCTGCGGCAAAGCTTGGGTTCCTAGGGTTAACTGGCCGGCCGGTCAGCGTAACCGTTAAATAGTATAGCTCTATTAATATGTGAAGAGAGCTCGAGAAACTGCAGCGTCGTTGAGGTGTCCAGGCAGGGTTTCGGGTCTTCTCACGCTTGTTCCTTCCGCGATAGTCGTTTTAACTAATGGGGGATTCAGTCCCCCCAACCTTGACCAAAAGCCTGTGCCCCGTCCAGTCAGAATTGAAACACCTCCTCCAGGGCTGCCCAGTCTATTGATTTCTGTTCGTTGAGTTTCTCGTTGTCAGTCTCTTGCTGCGCTGCTGATGGGTGTACTGTGCAGCCAGCTTCGAGCATCAGCCACGCGTCTGCGGCTTCCAGTTCTGCTACGGAGACTCCACCTAGGTCGTCAACGTCCCCGGGAACGTTCGTAATATAGATATTGTAGCGGCTGATCAAATACCTTGCACCAGGACCAACGCCACTCCCGACGGTAATGCCATGGTTGTGTAAATGACGAATCGCGGAAGCGATTTGCGCTTTCCATGTCTCTCTGTATTTCGAGAGGTCAAGTGCCTGAGCTCGGCCCACGGAAACTTTCATCAAATCTGCAAGGGTCTTCGCATGTGACACATAGTTTAAGACTATCCCCGCGCAGAGCTCCTTTTTATTCTCCTGCTCGGCTTGTCCCTCTCCCGAGACAAAACATACAGTAGAGCTCTGCTCTGGCCCTGCATTTGCGTAGCTGACTACAATTCCCTGGAGTCTTGGGATGTGGACTTCTTCAGCCGCAGATGGAGACGACACCTCCTCTGACTGTGAATAAAGCCGTGAATATGCGTTGATGATGTCGAGGGCGGGGTTGAGGACCAGGCCAGTGTCAACGTGCGTTGCTGTTTGATTGCAAGGGCTGAAGAAAAACACGTCGCCATTCGGCGCGCGAACCTTTTGTGGGGGACGCCGCCAGTTCTTTTCCTTCCCAAGGACAGACAGATTTTCTGCATGATATCGGCGCACATTCTGAGGAAGCAGACCAATTTCCGAGAATTCCATCAGATGGTGTTCGTAGGACGGGCGGTCTGTCGGGCCACCGGTGATTTTGGGTACGACGTTGGCCGTTTTCTCCTCGGTGACCAACTTCAAGTCATACGTCGGCGTATGCAGGTAGTCGGCCAATGTTTCCCATTGATGAGAGCTAGGAGCCAGAGTCTCGAGCAAGGGCAAGCACGGCGTGATCACCCAGTCGCACAACATTTCCCATTGGCGGACCCAGCTCTTCGGCCCTTCGTGTATCTTTGCCTCTTGAATGAGATCAAGCCATGGCTCTAAGAAAGCCGTGCCAGACACATCTTCACGCGAGACCGTAATATTGAAGCAAATGCCGTTGCGGTAGAAGTGCGTCCATGACTTACCCTCCTTCTCGTCGTGCATGCCATAACGCACAATGTGAGGAACAGAATCAAAATAGCGAACGGCAGACATGGTGAAATCAGCAGATAGTGAGTATTTCTCCCGTTTGTTGTCGCCAGATGCTCGAAAGAAGGAGAATGAGGAAGCAGTTTATATATAAAGCCATCTCATATATGAGGCAAGGCGGGACGAGGATGGTTAGGCAACAGCCGTCTCCGCATTCAAAACTAGGCCTGAGCCCCACAGGATCCATCAATCTAGAAGCCTAACTCTATCCACAGTCGTTGCCGCTTTTAGGGAGCGAAGTCGTATATTTGGCATTCTGAGGTATTTCGCTGAGGCGAGACCAGACTGCACTATCTTCATAGCCTAGGGGGCAGTTCAGGTCTTTTAGCAGGATGGTTGACCAGAGAATCCGGACAAGTTGACGTCGACACCAACCGAAGTACCGAGTAGGTCCATACCATTTCTTGGCTGGCCAGTCCCAATATCCGTGCATTGTCTTTCTATCCCCGTTTTCCGTGATGAGTTCGATGTTGAAGTGGTAACTGCTTTGAATGAGCTCCCAGATGTGTTTGATATTGGCGCCGCAAGTTGCCACCAGTTGGCATCTGAGGGCCCAGACACTGTTATCGAAGTTTTTGTACGGATAGAGCGGGCTGAGGTGTCCTGGAATCGGGCGTTCTTGTTTGATCTAACGTTATCGTGGATTGAATGCTGGATTTAGCCGTTGTCAGCCACACGAGGTGGAAGTCACCAATGTCCTTCTCATCGACCGTGTCATGGTTAGATTGAATCATACACACAGGGGCCACTCCAGGTTATCCAGCCTGTGATGCCAAACCCAAGGATTAAATGCAACATCGTAATTGATGACCCTGCTTTCGCTGCATCTATCTCTCTAGTCACCTTCTGACCTCTCTGGCCAGACAGCATGTTCAATGCGAATCATCATCTCGATTAGAGCAGTGGCGCCAAGCACCCAACAATTGCTAGGACCTTCCTCATCTTGAATTGTGCAAGGATATGGAACACCATTCCGATTACACAAATCCACAGAAGTTGCAGGAACAGTAGCGCCCTCAGCAGTTTTCGCCCGAGCCTTTACTTTCCGGTAGTAAGAAATCTTTCATTTGCAGTTTAGAGATAGTTTCTTCTGTCATACATGTCTTGATATCAGGCCGAGGACTGTCGTTTTCGGGGGGCCCCCTAGAAGTGCCATCTGGCTTCTCGTTGATCTCGTCGAACGGTCACTGCAGCTGAGCGCAAGCGAACTGTCTCAGGCCCTGAGACTAGTGGTGGCTTGTAGATTGCAGCGAACTCTGCAATTAGCCAAATATGGTAATTCGACTTGGTCTGTGCGCGAGCCGGCAGTCGCTGCTTTTTGAAAGCGATCGTCTGCTCTTCTGTTGTCGAGATGGCCTCCTTCCGCCACTCTGCTCGCAGTACTGTATGCAAGCCAGCATGACGTTGTTATTAATGAAATAGTGAGGGGGCTGCGTGTCTTCTGCATTACTATGTCTTAGATTTCTGCCTTGTTAATCATTTTTTCAGGAAGTTATACAGGCCGGTGTTTAATTAGACATAGAGCTATTGGCTACGAAATCCATGTTAGACCTTTACATGACTGTGCACAATGACAGGGGGCGATCGCAAAGACAAATTACTCAACCGCCGCTATGTACTCCAAGTTTCTGACAATTGTCATTGTTGTGAGAGACGAAGCACGAGCACGCATTTCTCACTACCCCCTCAATAGTCGACGGTTGCCTTTCTAATCTTGCGTCGTCTAGGTGAAAGCTAACCAAACAAAATTGGGAATTGAATTGTGCCAATGGCTCAGTGGCTCCTGTCACGGCGATATCATAATCAAAGACAAGAGAAAGCAATACTCGAACAACCTCTCACAGCTTCCCGATCTACTTACCGAGCGGTAGAAGCTTCTAAATTTGCCTATGCCGTGAATAGCGCTACAAAACAAGCCGCACTTTCAACTTGTCGCCCTCTTCTATCTCCTTCCGTCTCGCAAAGAGCTCCTCCATGTCCCAAGTACAGCTGAGATACCTACCAGTGAGCCATTCTCGTCTTTCACAGGTGAGAAAGGCTATCGTATCTCCGGCCAATGACGGGCTGTCGGTGAAGGCTGGATTGGAGTCAGTTCAATCTCATCTCTCGAGATTTTTCGCTTGGGGTACCTACTTGGGTGTGTTTCTTTAGGCATGGCTTCTGCCAGCTGCGTCATGACTCCCCCAGGATGCACGGAGAACGCTAGCAGTCCCTGTCTTCTCTGCTCCACCAGCAGGAACTCGGTGAATTTCAGTACGGCGAATTTGGACGTGCCGTATGCACTTGCTTCGGGACGGAGATTCAGGGGACGCCACTGAATTGACGTTGACGAGTGTCTTCAGGCCATCTGTGGTTCCATGTAAGAGAGGTGTAAAGTATTTACACATCAAGAAGATCCCTCTCAGGTTGACTTCAAAAGTCTTCCACCACAGGTCATTGTCGGCTTCTACTATCGGAAGAGCCTGGGTCATGAACCCCGCGTTGTTCACCAAGACATCCAACCTCGACGAAGATTCTTGCATTCTGGCCGCTGCCGCCGCTACCGACGCGCTATCCGTCACATCTAAATGAAGTAAGACGACGGTGGGAGCCGGTCGACCGCATAGTTTTGCTGCATTCTCAATCTCGACATTGACAGGGGGGTCTCCGAAGCCGTCGGGACATCCTAGTCCAATGAACGAAGCACCGGCTTGAGCGAATGAAATGGCAATGGCTTTTCCGATTCCACGATTACCTCCAGACACGAAAACAGCACGGCCGGCATGATTTGATTTGGATCTAGAATCAATGAAAGGGTAGGTGTCCTTATGGATTATTTGAGTGAAGTTTGCACCTGTTGATGCAGATCAGCCCTCTCGTCCCAGCCGAGCTCTCAGAGTGTGAGTGCATCTGGCAAACTCACCATTTGCAGGTGTGACGGGAGGATACGCCGCCATATTTGCCGATGGGCTCGTTGGATCTTCAACAGATACACTCGCAATTCGACGAAGTGAACTTGCTGTGTTGAGACAGGGTTGAATATGACCCAAATGCGATGCCGCTGCCTCCAGCGCAAGGGCCTCCTAGCTGTCATAAAAAGTTTATCATTCTCCGGATTTTCCTAGCTGCAAAAGTTATCCCCGTCAACTGGTAATATGCCGAGCTTGAGAAAATCGTAATTACGGTTATCTCAGTCTGCTTAGGTTTGAATAGTTTGAAAACAAAACACAGTATCGCCGAATTGCCGACTCAGCGGGATAACAGAACCAAAGCCAGAAAGTGAAGTCAAAACCAGGCGATTTCCTCGGTAAGAGTGTACAGGCTGGTGAGGCTCCCGGCTAGGTTCGGGCGGGGTAGCGTATTCGTTTCTGCTCCCTGGGTGTGCACTGCGGGTCGAGACCTTCAGAGGAATGAGATCTCAGTATCAATAAACATGATTACGTTCCCCTGTCGCATGGAATTTCGAACAATACATCCGTCAAACTCGCCTTCTTAGATCGAGATGCCGCAAGTCTCGGGCATCTCTTACGTACCGCCTGCGGCTATTTCATCAGGCTGTGTGACTGGCTGGGGACTTGGATGGGCTCTCGCCCGACCTTATGACGAGAGCAAACACGGGAATCAAAGGGAAGATTGTGTATGTCTGCAGTTTATCCAATTCACAGGTGAACGGAACGAGAGTTCAATGGCTGGAGCCTAAAACACGCCCAACTAACAAGTAGGGATGCAACGCTTTGGCCCCCATGAAGCCCTTGCTCACCATGCTAGCCGAAGGCAGGCAATTGGGTGAGCTCGCCGCCAATTAAAGGCGGCGCCCGCCTCTTGCTCGGGATCAGAGTCGACCAGGGATATTCTTGGGATGCCTGATTAGTTTTTGGAGAAGACCCTTGGCTCAAAGACATATCATCAGCCTCAATCGCCAGGAAGAAATCCCGTCGTCTTACAATTTATGACCACTGAAAATACGTTTGTTTCACACAATGAGCTTCAAGGGCTTTTGAAAGTTTTTGAAAAGTCCAATGGTTGGCATCCCGGGGAAGTCGCAAGGCTGTAACACTTGCAGAAGAAGGAAAATCAGAGTAAGTACGAGCTCGATTTGGCGTCTGGACGTTCTTAACCAGATTAGTGTGACCTCCAAAAGCCGCTGTGTCAACGATGCACTTCGTCAGGCAGACAATGCGAGGGCTACGAACGATACCCGGTCTTCATCAATCGCAGCCAGGCAGGTCTTGAGAGAAGACAGCGCCTGGAAGAAGTCAGATCCACACCACCCCGACCGGCCCTACAGAATCAAGACACGATGGGCTTCTCCGTCCCTTCCATGTGTCAACTCAACGAAGATCAATTCATATCCTCATTTTGGGAGGGATATTCTACAAGCTCAAGTCCATACTCCAGAACGAGGAAGCCTGCCTGGCTATATCACTCGATCAATATCTCAACGCCAACAACTCCGTTGAGACAAGCACTTCTTTCTCTTGCATATACTCGGATCGGAAGACTGCAAAACAACCCAACCTTAATCCTCAAAGGGCAGAAAATTTATGGCCAGACTCTCAGATTGATGCAGAATGCGCTGTACGATCAACAGCTGATGTGTCACGACGAAATCCTTGCGGCTGCTCGTTGCATGGTCTTGTACGAGGCTTTTGAGTCGACATCAGAGGATATGGCTGCGTGGCAAAGCCATATTATCGGGATAGTCCGACTGATTGAGATTCGAGGCCCAGGGCGTCATCGTGATCCCTTGCCTAAATCCATTCTCGAGTCTATACGTTATAATGCTATGATCGTCTGTCTCACCAGAAAAGAGTCGTCCTTTTTTGGCTACCCGAGTTGGCTGACACAACCTTGGGCCGATACACCAAAGGATCTCGATCAAAGGGTCTACGACTATGGCTTTGCGCTATCTGATTTGATCCAAAGGGGCGAGGCAATTTACCAGTGCTCGTCTCGAACAGAGATCCTTCCGATACTCGAACAGATCAGGGATAGCTACATTGGCATGGCAGCTCTCAAGAAAGACCTCCTAGATATGCACATTGTGCATGATTTGAAGGGGCAGGCACTCAATGAACCGCCCTTTGGCGAGACAACGTTCGCCATTACTTCAGCAATTCTTATTGCCCTCGATCTAGCATTCTCCATTTATGCCGCGGCACTGATCGAAAAATATGTTGCCGACGTATTTAGCGAGCATCAAGACCTCATCGCAGAAATCTCTCGATACACTGACGCATCACGCAGGCGGGACTTGTCAAAACAGGTTCTTCGCCACCTGCAATACTGTCTACAGACCCGATTCGAATACGCGCGACCGAGACTTATCTTTCCGCTGAACGTGGTGAGATGGGAGCTGAGGACAATCCCAGAGGACAGAGCCCAGGTACAAGCGCTGTTTGAAGCCATTTCTTCGAGGAATCAGTTTCGAATCGCCCGCAGTGTGCAGAATGCTGGCTGCTCGACCTTGCCCAGTGTTGTCTCCAGGGCAGCTACCACTGGGTGCGAACTCCCGGCCAGGTAAATTTGCTTTGGGTGCCTCGACTGTGTGAGAAGCAACCGAAAGACTACCGGCATTGGAACGCACAATCAGTTCTAAATTCGGTAGGCCCAAAAATACAGAAACCAAAAGAAATGAAGAATCAATACGTATAGCTTTGTCTATGTCATTATATGCCTGCATCCTGGTAAATCAAAGCAACAATCCCGAGTACAATGCATGACACCAGTTCATCCATCCCCAGATGATTGTATGTGTCCATGTAGGCTTCCAAACACGCTCTTCACAGAGATCTTGCACATGCTCTTCACAGCCTCTCGACTGAATCCAGGGAGCGGCTGGCGGACCTGACTTTGGCAGAAGAGAGGGTCTTTTCAGCGACCGAGGGGTCGGGGACCAGCGCCTCGCCACCGGTCTTGAAGACGAAGCCGGGATGGGCGGGGATCAAGCAGAAGGAGGCGGCAACGACCATTCTGCGGAGACGGAGGTTAGCTATGTATCGACCATGGACCCTGGAACGGCCACAGTAGCTACTACTTTGGAGTACAGCCAAGCAGGATATAGACTTGAGGTGGGATGGATAGTGATGGGATGCGAGTTCGGATTGTACTTACACTGACTCGAAGACAATGAACAAAGTCTGGTCCCTCAGCGCCTCGCTCGTGCGCGAGTATCCCTCGCTCAGCTCGTAGACTCGGTAGCAGCACCGGATGAGGATCAGGATCGTGGACGCGGCCAGGAAGCCGGTGAAGACGACGAAGCGGGTCGGGAGACGGACGAACATCCACACCCGGCGGCTGTGGATGGCGTAGTCGATGGCTAACACCACAAAGGCGGCGAGAGTGAATACTTGAAAGCCCAAGCCCGCGAGGGCGATGTCGACGCCGGCTTCGTTGCGGCCGTTGGAGTTGGACGACATGGCGCCACCGACGGCCTGGAGGACCAGGCTGATAATGTCGCAGGGGATGAAGATCCAGTAGAAGTATTTAGGCGCGAAGCGCGAGGATTGGAGTGAGATGTATCTAACGCTGGGACAAGTCAGGCAAGAGGTAGAGTGGTCGCGGACGCGAATACTACTTACATTTGAGCAAGCAGCACGTAGATGGCTGCAGCGAAGAAGACAGGCCCAATGGTGATCAAGACTGGTATTGTTAGAGAGTTGGTGATTCTCTCGTGGGGAGGGTAAGTGCTTTACCAATCTGCATGATGAACCCAGACTGGGCCCATGGATTCTGCCAATACAAGATTCGGCCAACATATCCAATGATTTCGTCCACGCAGCCGAGCAACATGAGGCTCATGAATCCCCAGGTCTTGTATCGGAAACCGAGGACTACCTGGGCGACTATGCAGAGGCCATAGAGGGCTATGAGAGTGCCGCTTGCAGAGAGCGCAGGTCGGTATCCGTAGACACTCATCTCGATTGGGCAGACGGAGACTGTGCAGTTGGCGTCATTGCCACCGCCAACGTAGACTGTGCCATTTGAGGTGATGAAGATTGGAACGTTCGAGTTCGCCATTATGATTGCAAATATGGGAGCAAGTTATGTAGTAATTCAGTTCGGTTGTAGGAGAATGATAGAACAAGTGAGTCGTTTGTTAGAGGATGTCGTATGAATATACTCCGTAGATTCTTTCTGTGATCTGTTGCTTTGGTTGGCTCGACCTGGGAATTCGCTTCGTGAGGTTCCTGTGGCGAATATATAGACTGGGAGGATATTTGCCCAGTCTTGTCAGAGAGTACTCGTCATTGATTAGAATGTGGAAATAGACCTGAATAGCTGGCGTGATGCTCTGCCTCACTGCGCGCTGCAGCTGTGTCGCCATGGCTCTAGGGGCCATCCTGAAGCCTATCCCGCTTGCGATAAGGCCGTAGGGTTTGGGCCGTTGACTTTGAACCAATGAGGGAAGGACAGAGACTTCCCATACAAGGCTGGAACGAGCTGTCGGTGTTTTACTTGCCCTTGCCCGTAATCCAGGTTGGGTACGGGGCTCCGAATACGTCGAGCCAGCTGTCCGAATGGCCCAGAAATGGTGCCTGGACTGGTGAGCGTGGGCTCAACTGTACCCCTGTACGCAGGGCTGGGTTGGTAAAGCCGTTCGGAGGAACTCGTGTTCCATACCAATTTGAGCTCTCAGATGCATTGTTTGTTTGCAGGATCATTCCCAGCCTTTTGACATTTATTAGTAGCTGGCCAATCAGCGGTGTGCACCCCCTTTTAGACACACAGCTCAAGCTGCCTAGAATCTGTAAATCTCAATAAATTTTATCATTGCTGGTTCTCAACGTGCGTATTGTACAGGCCAGGCGCGAGCAGAACCCAGCAAAAGGACACAGCTCTAGCAGGGTGCCTGATGAAGAGGTTGCTTTGTTGATGTAGAAGTAACAGGCTCCACCGAAACGTCCGTAAGGAATTTCCATGCCGCTGGCCGCAGCCCTCTCCCACTAGGCCACCTGGCGACCCCGCCAATGGTTCTTGCCGAGTATCCACTGTCGCAGCTTGGACCCCGGAATTGGAAAAGCGCACGTCTTGCATTTAGCTAAGCGAAAGCACGCGCCATGAGTCGGTGGTGAACCCCAATGCCCGCCGGAGATCGAGGAGCTTACCAGATCTCGCAGGTTGAATACTCGAAAAGTACACAGGATACCACAAATAGCACGCTGGACTCAGACTTCGCCATGGTGGACATATCTAGGAGGACTTCGACCGCAGTGAGATTTTCTTATTCATGCTCCCCCTTCACACGGCTCGCATTTCAACATTTCCAGTTCTCCGTCAGGCCGTCAGTTCCCGGATTTCGTCGAGAAATCTGCCTTCTTGGTTTGAATGTTTACACTTTTTCTTCGTTTCGTCATGAGGGCATTCAAACAGACGATGGGCAACGGTTACTTGACCCGGTCAATGACGCTTGCCACTGGTTCCTCATGAGCGTGTTCAAAAATCATGACGCCGCGCCAAACGGCTCGAGACCCAGCTACTGGGTTCAACAAAGTTAGCGTCAGCCCAGGGCAAATTTGTGAGGACGACTCATATATGCCAACAGCAAAGAATATGGTCAAAATTTGGAGAAAGCATGTTCTCTCTGCGAATTCGGAGATGATGCTTCGACCGTTCACGGGATCGAGAATTGGACCGAGCGTTCCGACCATCCGTTCCTCCGACCTCGTATTCGCAGAAAGGTGGACTGACACATCTGGCATATATTCACCGACGATGGACGATGCATCACTTATAACGGCCCGAAATTGCTATATATCAGCGGGTCCTCTGCGATATGTCTCCCCCGGCTGTTATGAGAGCATGGCAATATTCATGCACCAAAGGCGGCCTCGAGAAGAACCTCCGCCTCAATGAGTCTGCCCCAGTACCGCAACCGTCTAGCGACCAGCATCTGGTGCAGGTGTTGGCCACATCACTCAACCCTATCGACTACAAGGTGGCAGAAATCAGGTTTTTAAGCCGCTTCGCTATTCCCAAGCCAGCAACTCCCGGCATTGATGTAAGGTCTCTCCTTTAAAGACTCATTTGTTTCCTCCGCAAATGGCAGTACAGGCTAACAGACATCCCAAAGGTCGCAGGCTATCTTGTCACCCCCGCGGCCGGATCGTCGCTGAAACCTGGCCAACTTGTCTTCGGGGCGTCAGGAACAACACCCTGGGCCGGGGGTGGTTTGGCCGAATACGCCATCTCGAAAGAGGATCAACTGGTGGCCCTTCCGGATGGCATGGATCCAATATTGGCATCGACAGTATCCGTGGCAGGACTGACTGCTTACCAATCTATCGTCCCCCATGTCAAGTCCGGAGACAGAATCTTCATCAACGGCGGCTCTGGCGGAACAGGAATCTTCGGCATCCAGATTGCGAAAGCCGTGGGGTGCAATGTGACGACAACCTGTTCTAGCGGTAACGTCGAGCTCTGCAAAAGTCTCGGAGCGGACGCGGTCATCGACTACAAAAAGCAGAATGTGCTCGAGGCTCTGAAGGCCAGCGGGCACAAGTTTGACCATGTCGTCGACAACGTCGCCGCAAACTTCGAGCTCTACTGGAAGTGCCACGAGTACACCAGGCCCAGAGCCCTGTTCATCGTCGTCGGGGCGTCAATTTCTCGGGCCTTCATCGTCGACGCGATCCTGAGAAAAATGTGGCCGGCCTTCCTCGGGGGCGGGAAGCGGAAGTCGGTCACTTTTTTGACAAAGGCGAAACCGAGGGATCTGGAACAGATTGCCTGCTGGATGAAAGAAGGCAAGGTGAGAGCTGTGATCGACGAAAAATTCTCCTTCGAACAAGCTCCCCAGGCGTTGGAAAAGCTCAAGTCCGGTCACGCGAGAGGGAAGATTGTGGTCGAGGTTTCCTCCTCGAATGCCCTCAACTGAGCTTGTCCCAAACCCGTTGTTATATTTATGGATTCATATTGCCTTCGTGGTAGTCCTAGTCGCCTATCCACAACCATATACCCTCTCCGTACTTACAACTTAGCTAATCTTAGTCTCTCTCTCGGCCAATCCTGTCGAGTCCAACATTCGCCTCCAGAATAGGATCTAAGTCTTGGTTTCCTCCTTGGAAATGGATGTGGAAACTTGGAAGTAATCCTCACCAGGAGGCTCAATTTATATCCCTTTCACTTTCTCTCTCCTCTAGGGCTGAGAAGGCAACGCCATACCAATAAAGAATGCCGGACTGTCTATATCATGGTTCTTGTAGCTAAGAATCTCTGTCAATATTGTCATCTGCAATTGAAGCAAGAAAGGTCAGCGCATACCTAAGCATCGCAATTGCCCCTGGTGAGAACATCATCGGCAATGGGTCATCTATGGGGTATTTCAGCCATCGTTTGACAAAGCAACGGAGGATGAGGCCGTGTGCGACCTGCTCGAGAGTCAGATTCCTCGGGGCAGAAGAGGCCGTGTTTAGGTGGAGAGCCATACCAGCACGACATCAGCCGGCTTCCCTCCATTCATATGTGGCGCCTGGACATCCTTGATCTGCGCGATCAAACGATCGAGCCTCTCAGCCACCTGTTGCGGTGATCTGTTCAAAAGGTCCACCAAGTCAGCGTTTATTCGGCCTTCATTCGTCCCAAGCCGCATGTGACAGAGTTAGAACACTGGTAAAGCATACTCGCCGCCTTCACATCCATCCCTCCAAATATTGTACTTGCGCTCTTGATCCAAGCCTTTCGCTTTTCGTCTTCGGACAATCTCGTCGACTACCAAGCCCTCGTAGTCGCCGTAGTCCCACTCGGCGATATCCTCGGTCAGTGTGACCTTGTCATGTGAGACTCCAGAGCCGCTGTTACTAAACAGGAGATGAAAGGTCTGCTGTGCCCGCTTCCGTGGACTGACCCACACATGCGCTATCCGATCTGGGTCGATAAGCTTGCCAGTGCCAACAAGTAGTTTTGCAGTGCCGTCGACCTGGCTCTCGCCCTCAGCTGTCAGTGCGATGTCTGTTCTTCCCGTGTAGCGGCCGTTTTTGGTCCACTCGGTCTCCCCTAGAGTTTTGCACGTATTGTTCAGTTTATCTACTTTCAAGCCTGGTGCAGAAGGCTGCCAGAAATTCGACCCAATGACTCACCGTGACGGGCGAGGAACACACGCGGGGCGTGGCGTCCGAGGTCGGATATGGCATTAGTCAGATCTTACGTGGTCGATCTAAGGCTCGAACCTTTTGAGAGGGCAATGGCAGGAAGGTTAGATCCGTGATCTAAGAATTAGAATCGCCTCTCCGCCCTTCAGGCATCGAGGCAGTCAGGTTTGAACTTCCGCGTACGAGGTAATACTCGGTAGATTATCTGCTTCCAGGTCATCCTCCGTATTTCCCCGACTGAGGAAACGGATATTGCCGCCGGGGAGCAGGACCAGCCGGAGCCCACCAGCCCCAGACCTACAAATAGTGGAGTAATAAGCGAGCACAGTCCGCCAATCCACGGATTGTTTTGCTATGGGATAAATATCACTCCTCTGCGGCCTCAATTGTCTGGTTCCTACGTTCACTATAGACTTCAGACTGTCTGTCATTGCTCGTATCTCATTGAAGTCAGTGGTATATCGCCCAATCGTCCAATATGTCGAGCCCAGTATTTTCCTCTCTGCTTCAACGCTCTCGGCAGTCTTCAAAGCCGTCAGTTGTCGTAGGGCTAACCGCAACAGATTCAAGCTGAGCAAGGGCTTCTGCCAACTCCTCATGAAATGACGACTTTGCAGAGAGAAAAAGACCCGACTCGACTAAACTATCAGTCGAGCGACACTCGGCTTCCTCCGCGGTGGCGGTGGCTATAAGCTCCTCGAAAGCCTGGAACAGATCGTCGCTGTAGTCGCGACGTCGCTGCAAGACTTCTATACTTTGCGGCAAGGCTGTCAGGCCTGAGATCGTACTGAACCTTCATCGGATGCGTCGAGGAGAGAATGTTGATGGTTTCGACGTCGGCGAACTCCGCAACGGCCGAGAGGAGTTTGACACCTGAGAACAAGCGTGAGCAAGTAATCTTTTGCTCCACCTATTTTGTAGTAATACAAATGCGTGTGAAAATTCCCCCCGTAGTGAAGGATGAACTTACCTCTAAGACTTGCAGTGGTGATATATTCGTAGCAGTGATCAACAAATAGTCTCATGACTGCATGATTATTATGCATGATTGCGGTTGTGAGCGGAGTCACACCGTTGCCAGAGATGGCATTCAGATCCGCACCATACTCGAGCAACAGGCGTGCGCATTCGACGTTCTGTGTACGCGCGACCGAATGCAAGGCCGTCAACCCTTCGGGGTTGCATGCCTTAGGGTTGGCGTCAAAGTCGAGAAGTAGTTTGAGCATTTCTGGCGTTCCGGCAAAGCCCGCAGCCGTCAAGGGACTGCTCTGGTATATACCTTTCGGCATTACTGGATTGGGATTCCCGCCTCCCTTAAGTATCAGACGGGGACATGGGATGTTGTGACTGTCGACAGCATGTAGCACTGGGGTCCTCCATGTCTCATCCGTGTTGTTGGGGTCAGCACCATACCTCAGCGGGAGAGTAATATCTTCCAGTTGAGCTCTTGCTGTTGCCCAGTCAAGTACCGTTCGGTTTTGTGTATCCGTGAGGTAGATAGCGTTTGGGTTTTCACCCAGTTTAGCAGCCAAGGACTTCGAGGATAGGCCAAAAATGATTCTGTGGACGAGTGGGAAATTCTGTTCTTCCACCCAATCGCCCTCACCCCCTCCGTGACACAGCGAAGTGCGTCCTGCTCCACTCCCGTGCTGCTGCCGCGAAAAGCGAAGCCCCAGACGTTGTTAGAAGAGCTGTATTGTTAGTTATGACATTAGAACGGCGGATCTTCCCTTACATTTCGTCGACAGGCGCCCCTTGACTGATGAGGAATTTGACGGTTTCATAATAGTTGTGCATCCCACCGTAGAGCGCCCACTGGACACCTGTAAGCACTTTGAATATTCAATTTTCAAGCCTGGACTTACTCGCATTAAAGTATAGCCTCGGGATTGGCTGACATCCTTTGGGTGTGCTAGTTTTTGACTGAACAGGAATCTCAGACCATCGACGTTTCCTTTCATGGCGAAGTTGATGGACGGAGAATCATCTGGGATCCTTCTCGTCGTCGACAGCTGGATAGGCATCCCTCTTTGTGGCATGTTGGTCAGGCACATTTGTAAATTCATCGATATGAACCACGAAGGAAACCAGTATTCCATGGTAGCAGTAGCGGTTTGTCGATCTCTACAACCTCTGAAGTCGCATGGTTTGCTGACGACAGGAAATCCTGAGTATCCAACAAATATTTTGCCGAGCACATTCTCCATCATCCCCGGCGGTGTTAGCTTGAAATTCCGCTTTGCATGGCAAGCACAAGGACACCATCTTCGACATGGGACGCGGTGGGAAGCAACAACGCGAATATTTTGGGTACTTGATTGGTTCTGATCGAGGCTTGTAGTTTGTTCCGGAACAGACACATCCCGCGCCTGCACACTGGCCATCAGCCTTTGCAGAGCGTCAAGACGCGCACTCAGATCCTGATGTTGCTGTTCCATGGGGGAACTTAATGCGAGATGATCTGTCGCAGTCTGGTTGATAGACTCCTGCATCTTTTCTGAGGCTTATGTCAGGATGGTGACTTGGCGAAGCTCGAGAATAATGTGATGCAGTTCCCGCCCAAGTCGACGGTTAGTAGATTGCTCTCCAGTGGAAGGGTAGATTTACGAGTTGGAGGCCCCCAGCATCAAAGTCAAAGCCGTCTTGACAGAGCGTATATCTTCGTGAAAGCGTTGGAATATTGTCCTATACCTAAGCCAGATGGCGCTGTTGGCGATGATCTTCATTCTGCTTCCCCTGCAGGCGTCTTCGAAACGGTGGAGGGCCTTTACGAGACCTGCGAGATGGCCCTTGGTCTTATTCAATATTGGTTCGAGCGACCCTGGTTCATTGTCCCGGACCAAAGTCTGCTGATTGAGTGCATACTCGACCTGACGTAACACCTCTTCAAGGTCACTGACCTCGTTCTTTAAGGCGTATATTCGCCTCAGTAATTAACCAAGGTGCCGCAGCTCTAAAATGGCCTTGCTAACATGGACGGCCGCTGCAACAAGTCCAGCGACACTGGCAGCGACAGACAAGGGGTCTGCCATGTTGCTCAATTAATATTTGTGAGCAGCACGGTAGGCGCGGCTGGAAGGTTAGAAGGCATGATCCGAGGCGGAGCTGCTTTTGCCTTTAAGCGGTTTTGGGCCTTCTCCGTAATATCAACAAGCACTGGTGGCGGAAGAGTCTCGCTACCCATACAGGGTACTTGGTAGTAGCTGGGCCGATTGAGTTTACTTCCCCCCTTGTCGCTCGCGCAATCACTCTCTGCAGCTCCCTCGTCGGGTTCTCTCCGCTTGTATTGGATGGAGTCCAGCTTCTGGAAATCGCGGTGGGCGACGGAGGTTGAGGGTTTGCACCAATGGCAATGACAGGACTGCACCCGCTGATTCGCCAGGGGCTTTCGCAATTCGAATCGGGGCCGAACTGTCTGAACCGAGTACGAGGTAAACAGCCAAGAGAAGTGTGTGGCCCAAGCCCTTCTTTTGCTGGCTCACCGTCCATGAAATAAGCTGGAATCTGCTGAATCAATAACGGACCAGAACCGATAATCCCCAATAAGGGCTGAAGCTGAGCATTGCTGCTATGCTTGTACAAGAATGCTGGATTGGCGGCCGGTTACGCCAGTGAATTTGATGACAATTAATTCGCAAGGGACCTCGGTGTACGGGACCACTCACCGGGAGGCGCGAGCCGGGAGGATTGTGGTGTGATCCAGCTTCTTCCGTAATCCAGAGCTTCTGGTGGTTAAGATCGGCACCAGGAGAAAGCGCACTCTAACAAGTAGGTATCTTAATCAGTAATCCAGTACATGGCCGTGGCGTGGTCCTGAACTCCATTTGATTAGCCCCTAGTCAGCGAACGTGCAGCCTACAGTACATAACGATACTCCAGCCCACCTCCGCACACCCTATACCTTCGCTTGACCGTTGTATCCTCGGAATCACGTAGTTGCCAACGCTTCAAGCTCTCTATTAGGGAAAGTCGGCAAGCACTCTGAGAGCTGCTCGAGCTCTAGGCACAAGCGCATCGGTAAATATCAAAGCCTTGCCATCTCCATCTGTAGATCATCCGGACAGAATGCGCGGCAAAGGGTCATCATGTCATCATACACTCTAGGCATACATTAGTCATTCGTACTGGTGTAGAGCCATGCAAAGATGATCATCTCTTCACTCACATTTCTCGTTGTTGCGAGCCTGGGATATTGATCAAATTTCCAATGTTGAAGGTCAGGCTGTAGAGTAAATTACGTGCATCCCAGTCCTCTGCGGGTTCCGACGCGGGAAACTCGCGTTTGTAACAGTTGATGTAGGCTTTGTCACTTAGCCTGTGTCTAGGCGCCCTCCAATTGCCGATGTCGTACTCATTGTGGCCGTAGAACGAGCACACATCGAAAACAAATCCCTCGCCAGTTTGGGCGTCTAATGCGGTATTGCCATCCCAGCAATCCCCATGGACTAGAGACGGTTTAAGAACGCGGCCATTTTCCTGCAGAGGAAGAAGTAGCCGCGGCACGACCTTGTCCAAAGTCAGCTTGCACACCAGATCAAATTCTGGCCAGTTCAAAATATGCTGGGCGATTTCCATAATGTGTCCGAGGTGGCGGCCGAAGAGAGCAGCCCAGGAGTCATCCCACTGGTCGATATGTTGCGCAATCTCGCCATGCCATGTCTGGACATGGAAACCAAACTGCCCTGTCGGCGATTCGGAGCGACGATGAAGGTCTGCAAGTCCTGTCACCAATTTGAACGGATCTGCGGGCTGCAACAGCTGCGTGAGACCAAAGTCAGGAACAACCCAGGCCTGGAACGCTCTTACCTGCACAAGGATGTCTCGAAACTCCTCTAGAAGAAAGTATGCTTCCGGCTCGCTGTTCTTACACTTACCCCAGGCATAGGGTTTCGGGACGAATCCAGGGGAGATTGCGTGCATGGCCTTGAGCGATTCATACTCTCCTTCGCACTTTTGGGCTCCTGATTCCCCTCGAGCAATCTTTGCTAGAGTATCAGTGTTGCCAGGATTAGCCAGGTTGGTGTGCCAGAAAATACCTTGAGAAAATAGGACTCTTTCTTCCCGTTCGGTAACTCCACGGCTAGCTTGGCCGTTCCGCTCCTCAGCGACTCGGCATAATGAAAAGAGTGAAGGAGCTTCGTCGCTTCTACAGGGAGAGCTTTTCATGATCGGACTATTACTGTTTGCGTCTCGCAGTCCCCGGATGTGTCAAGAACTCACCCTCCTCAACAGCCGGATCAACTTCAAACGAACCACTCACTTTGGGAAGCTTGATTGGATCCACTGGCGTTTCTTCGATCCTCCGCTGCGCTTCACCGATCATAAAACTTGATTCGCTGTCCATCAGCCTCGGATTTAGACGTAAGTATCTTCGTTCGTGTTCGCGATAGACGAGAAGAGGTGAAAGGGTTGTTAGCTGAAATATTAAACGGGGCCTGCTCGTGGGCCTTCAATCCACACCCAAAGGTTCTACCTCCTTTTGACTGGGCAGTGGACATGAAGTGATGGGGTTTCTGCTTGACCGAACCACTCTTCAACGTTACAGTGGAGCACCGCATTGTGAAAGTTTTCGCTGCTTGGAGGATTTGGGACCGGAGGGTTTGGCCGCTAGCCTCTTTGTCTTGGCACCCCAAGGGGACCCTTGAATAGGGTTAAACTTAATAAGGATCTCGGAAATCCCAAGTCAACATGCGACTCGCCTAGGGCCGTGCCGGGAGCCTTACACTAAAAGGACATAACTTCTCGGCCCCCCACCACTTTTGGGCCTCCACAGAATTATGCCACCACCACTATAATTACTGCCATGCCTCCACATCTTTGTTACAAGGTTGAAAATTACTCGGACCTTGTCAATTAGCCATTTCTCTATCGATTCATGCTATTTTTAGCTTCAACTAGGCGTTCTCAGAACCGAGTATACCACCCTCTAGCCATTTGAACCGCATGTACTCTCGTTGGCATAGACCTTATTAAATCGTCGATATCCTCTTGATCTATAGTGTTCCACTCCTCAACGATTACTCTGGCGAATTCGTCTAGGGCCTCTTGAGACTCTCCGAGGTCCTGGAGATGTGGGTATTTCTGGCAGATCCGCTGTTTAAGGATTGCCCAAAGGTGTTCGATCGGGTTGAGATCTGCGAGTACGGTGGCCATTCCAGCCGTGGTATACCGCGCTGTTCAACCATTCCTTAACCTTATTTGCCTTTTCCCTGAACTTCACTACCGTACCCAGTATTATGTAACGCCAACGAAAATTCGAGATCTCCTTCCGGTCTCTCCAGTAAGCGGCTTTCCTCTTCAAAATGCGACCCTCCTCGAAAGAAGTTTTCCAAAGCTCTGCGCGTAGCGGAGCTCCAACGACGCAAATATCTTGGTGAGCTGTCAAACGGCCTCGGGGCCAGTTCTTCTCAACCCTCAGCATGCTGCCCATGATCCTTAATAACCCACAAAATAGTGCTGGCGAAGGCGCATAATGAGAAGTAAATAAGAGGAAGACGCAGATAGCTGTGCTGACCATCCCCTATGGAACTCGGCGACCAAGGTCCCCCAGTCCCCGTATACGATTTTGCCGCCAAGAGCGTGTTCCTGGTAGAAAAGCCGAATGACATTTTGGGATGATCAGGCGTATGATTGACAAGGGAGACTAGTCGTTTGGATTACCTGTGTCGTCGACCAGTGCGAGAATTGTTACTCTGTAATGAGTGCGATGTGTCCATGCGCGCAATAGTTTTGCAGCCACAATGATATTGAAAAGGATTAAAAACAGAAAAGGATACTTTATTCGCTGGGGCACGAGTGCGACCTCGAAGTCATGCCCAGATAGAAATGAGATATCCGATAGGCAGAGCGCGGAGCCAAGGCGTGACCTACTTGTCTCGTCTAGACCTAAGCAGCCACACAACCTTGTGTTAGGGCACAAAGCTTCCGACCACCACTGATCGCCAAGTAAAGCTAGAGGTCAGGCCTGTCTTTAAAATTCCAGCGCCGTCATGAGCGGCCTCTCGAGAGACGCACTTAGCGAAAAGTTCCAATAGTAAGTGGCGGGCCTATTGAATTGGCTCTTGCGCTCGATCTAGGGCGATGAGGCGTGCGTTCGACAAACAACACCGCTGCAATACTTCTGGCTAAGGCCGATTCTCGCAACGGGCGGAGCATGGAGTTCTACCGACAGCTGGGTCCCCGAGACGAGATAGCCAGTGCTGGTTTTGATGATGACATATCCAGAGATACACATTTTTCTAAACTTCGCTCAACGGCCATCTTATCGGTAGCTTTCCTATGCTCTCTAGTCAGCATCGCATGCCTTCAGTCTCGTCAACGGCGTCTCAGATAGTTGGCCCCCAATTTCGGCCAAGGGGGTGCAATTGAACAACGCTATTACAGTGCTTTGGCGTGTTGTGCGTTGCTGCTTGACAGGATATGTGGAATTTCATATGCATCGACTGATATCATGAGCGACAACATGATGCTGAAGGCAGAGTTGATGTGCGTGAGCGAGGATATGCCGCAGTTTGTGAAGATGGAAAGAAGCCTTTGACGCGGCCGACAAGGGCATCAGCATCGGCTAGGCGATGATCACCACACTTGAAGCTCGTTGTTGAGGCGTGAATGGAATGAAGTGCCAGACCCGTTGTGAAGGTATCTGTTTGGGAATTTCGGTATGGGGTGCCGGCCCAACAGATCGAGGCAATCTCGCCGCACATCCGTCCCACATCCAACCCCCATCACAAAAAGCATCAAAATACTTCTTTCGGACTTTGCGTCGGCTCTCGGACGTCATCAGGGCGAAGCCAACCAAGACGAACCCAGGATGAACCCACTTCTATGAAGTGGGCGGCTGCGCTGGTTGAAATCCACATCAGTTGATGTACAGCTTGGGCAAAATGGTCCAAGAGGTCCCAGGGTATCCGTCCTGGTTCCCAGATCTGGGTATGGTGGGATCCCTTGATGAGGTGAGTGTTTGATGGGGTTGATTCCGCAGATCCGTTGCCTTTGAACATCTTCCGTGAAGGTGTCCCTCTTCAAATCATGTATGCCATGGACAGACGTCGGCGAGGATACACAACTGGTTCTACCTCTTCATCAACATCGGCGCCTTGATAGGCCAGATTTCCATGTCCTACGCCACGCCGTATGTCGGATACTACCTCGCCTTCCTGCTACCGACGCACGAGCCATCAATGCCTCCTTCAAGGACCCGCGAAATACTGCGGAGGCTGTCCCTGTTGTATCGGTCTCTCCGAGCTTGTTGCCATCGCGTTAACGCCGACATTTGGTACGCTCTTACTCCGTCCATGGAACGCCATGATGATATCGTCCCTGTCGGCCTCGACCTCTGGATCCCGCTGACTGGGTCTCTGTCTTCTCTTCATCCTCACCCGCTCTCTCGCGAATTTCAACTGATCCAAGGTTTCTTTCACACACTGTTGCTCTGCACTGTCCTCCTCGGTCTTAGTGAGCTTGATTTCTGACTCGGATATTAACGCGTCGAGGTCCATCTCTTCGGCGTCTAACTTGCGTAGACGCTGGCACTCTTCCTCCCACCAGAACAGCATTCCCACCAGATCCTTCTGCCGATAGATGTTCAACAGTGCCAGTTGATGGGGGAACTTGGGTCCGATTTTATGCGTGTCCACCAGTCCGTCCTCCTTCAATATCTCGTTCTTTTTGAGCTTTGCATAGACCTTCCTACTCACACTCTCCGCATCCACCACTCCGGCAACATAGAAGGATCGCTCGTCAAGGGTATAGGGGTTGGCGGAGGCGATTTGATGCATGTAGCACATATCTCGGCGGTAGCCGGTCAGGTCAACCGTGCGAGAAGGTGTTTCATCTGCGAAGAAGTTTGGGACGGCGGCATTGGCGAAGCGAGTGAAGGAGAAGCCAAGAGAACCGTTGCGTTTGCGATACATGTTGCGCTGGAGAGATTGTGCGCAATGGTCCTCAGACTTAGTCCAGAGGGGAGCGTTGGTCTGTCAACAAAAGCACAGAACAAGAAGCGCGGGGAACTTGAACATCAGGCGAAGACGCGGAGCATTCCGAGTCTCGGCAGCGCCGGAAAGGACAGCATCAATTACCTTGACAGAAGATGCAGCTTGACATGCATGTCTCACCGTCAGCAAGACCGCAGATTCGATTAATGAGCAGTTACAATAGTAACCACGTTTATGTACATGACTGTGTGATTGGCCGTTATTTGACTTTGTAAACAGAATGAAACCGCTGTGGCCCCGTCGACCGCCATTGGAATTGGATTTGCGAAAGGGGGAGACTGGCCTGTCTGCAGCGTATCAACAAGTCTACCGACGCTCTCAGACTCTTATCCCTCTCTTGTTCTCTCTATGTCTGAGGGACTTGGTATCCCCAATCTAATCGCTTCGAGACACAATCCGATCGACGGAATCAGGATATCGTCGACACATAGATGCAGTCTGGTTGAAGCCCCTGAATGATGAATGCTGAATGCTGAATGCTGAATGCTGAATGCTGAATGAGTGAGCAGAGGGTGGGAAGAAATCGTCTCGCTCGCAACGCCTTCACAAAAAGAGACAACTCGTCGATCAAGTGGACAGGTGCCGCGGTAAGCGTGGCTCGCCATCCTTGTATGGTTCGCCAGCAGCCTCTCGGGCCAAGTCGTTGATCCATCTCTCGTTCGGTTTCAGTGTGCTTCCGTTCGAAACGTTGGCGGCAAGGTACATCCAGGAGAGGGCGTTCCCAACAGTGTGGACTTCGTCGCTGACATGGTTTCTTGCGTATTCGCACATACTGCCATAAAGGTCCTTGTCGCTGACCAGGTTATAAAGATGCTTGGCAACACTGTCGTGGTCACCTCGTCGGACAAGGTAACCGCTCTTGCCGTCCTCGACCTGAAGAGGGATACCTCCCGCGAGTGTGGCAATAATCGGTTTGCCCTAGAACCTTGTCAGTGTCAAACTTTCAGGAAGAAATACGACGTACGTTTACCTTGTGCAAAGCTTCCGAAACCTTTACCTCGAATCCTTCCCTTGTAGATAGCTGCAGGGCCACGGTGCAAAGCGACATGATAGCATTCAAGATCTGGTCGCTAGGCCCCAGTCTTACCACGATGATGTCGTCGACCAGGTCGGGAAATTGTGTGAGAATCAAGCTCATGGTCTCTTCATAGACCAGCGTCGCATCGGGATCGTCCACTGAACCGTGCCCACAAAGCACCAATTGATGTATTTTCTCCTTGGGCTGGTCTTTCACCATTTCGCGGAACTTGGCATAGCTCCTGATGACGTCGGGAATGCCCTTGGAGGGATCAAACCGCGCGATTTGGGTGAAATAGCCTCGGTCTGGGTA